GGAGGCACGGAGTGGGATGACCTAAAATTGGAGAAGGAGGTTAATTGAAATGAGGCTTGTCTGAGCCTAATGTAGCCAGCCTTTGGAGAGAGTGGTCTGAAATGGGGATGGCGGGTAGAGGACCAATAAATGTTTTCATGCTTTGCCATATACCAGGTCTGTCCATGAAAAACCCTCTTGATCTTTATTGACATTAATTAAAATAAGAGTAAATATGCAAGTCTGCATATTATTCTGTCCAGACTGTAAAGAGAATGTTTAATTGTAAAGAAGGAACAACAGAGGTACGTGTTGAATCTGGGGGACTGAGAGTCTGTTATTCTCTTTATGAAATGTGGTGTTATATAACCTTCCTGAATACTGTCACTTCATCTGCTGCCTCTCTTCTCTGTGTTGGGCTGAAGAAAAAGCAAGTTGTGCCTCCAAAGTAGAGTTAGATGCTAGAAAATTTGTTTCTTCTTTTCTTGTGATTCTACCTTTACAAGAAGAGAAAAGTAGATCCTGGATGCGTCATCCTTCAGTTCTCTTAACATGTTTATTTCAGTGTTGTTTACATGCAAAAATGACTCCTCAATACAAAAATAATATACTTAAGAAATACCTAAATATCCGGAGTAAAATACGAGAGTATCTGTTTACCACCTTGATTCCTTTCTCACTTAACTGTCTTCTGTGAATGCCTGATTGTATCAATTACCTCTGGGTTTAGGTGACTTCTGAACCACAAATATGTCCTTGTCACGTGTCTTGCACATCACGTCATTGTCTCTGGGTTTTGATCTCCCTAGATTTGTCTTATGTTCTTTCTTTATTTAGGGAGCCTTGACATTTCTGGCTCACAAAGTTTAGAATGCAGAATTTCTTATCTAGCAATAATACTTAAACAACAGAGCAATGCCACAGATTTACTTTGTTTTTCAGTAATTTTTTATGTTGTTTCATGGGATTTTGAGAAGGCAGGATGGTGGTTGCAAATGTTCTACATTTGATCTAATCTTTTCATATAAATTTAGAGACGTGGTTTAGACTGCTTAAATAATTTGACTATTACTGAATGGCTCCTAGAATAGCATCTGTTAAAGGTATTTAGTAAAAGTTTGCTGATGAATGGTTGTGAGTTAAGCCAAGACTAGAACTGGGTCTTCCAAGCCTTGGTTGTGTACTCTTTCCATGACAGCAGGACAGCATACTGATACCAAATTTTCTTTTTTTTGAAGATGGAGTCTCACTCTGTACTCCAGGCTGGAGTGCAGTGGCGTGATCTTGGTTTACTGAAACCTCACCTCCCAGGTCCCGGTTCAAGCAATTCTCCTGCCTCAGCCTCTGGAGTAGCTGGGATTACAGGAACGTGTCACCACACCCAGCATATTTTTGTATTTTTAGTAGAGACGGGGTTTCACTATGTTGCCCAGGCTAGTCTTGAACACCTGACTTCATAATCCGCCCACCTCAGCCTCCCGAAGTGCTGGGATTACAGGTGTGAGCCACTGCCCTCAGCCCCAAGTTTTCTATAAATTATGACTTTTCTGGGTTGGATGCAGTGTTATTTGGGAAGCAGATGCTTAAAACGTAAGATCATAGTTTAAGTAGCTATGTGAATTAGCATAGGCTTGCAATAACATAGCCTAAAAAAACCTGCCCAGGAGAAACTGGCCTCTAGACAACTAAGTTTGTTAATAGAAAATGATAATGCAGTTGGAAGCTTATGTGTAAACTCTTTGCTGTCTGTTTTTTCTTTCTGACACTTTGAACATGAAGATAATGCTAATCATTCTGTCTTCTGTTACTGAGTTGTTTGAACCTATAAATGTGACTTTGCACAAATAAGGCAAATGATCCAAAGGCAAGATTCTGATGACACTCACAGCGGATTTTTGTGTTAAATGAACTGCTGAAGGAAATCCATAGATTTGAAATTATTTGGGGTTATCTGTAGACTTGAGCTAAACTCCAATAGCCTATGATTGATAAATGCTTTCATTCATTCAAAAAGTATTTATTGAGCATCTACTATATGCCAGGACTTAGGTACATGGAATCCTAGAAATACAGCAGTCAACAAAATAGACATGGCCCTCACAAGGCTTTCCATTTAATATATGGAAGGGAGACATTCAAGTAATAATTATACAGTCAGACGTTTTGTTATAATTCTATTAAGTGATGAGTTGAGAAGAGTATTTTATAAGAGTTTAGTGTCTTCATGCAATAGAAGAAAATTCAGTGTGGCTGGAGGGATAGGAGCTGGGTCACATGTTTTCCTAGGGTACCATGCCATGTGCCCCTTGCCAGCAGTGCCTAGAGGAATCTGTAGACATGCTTATGGTGAGGAAAATGTTATTAAGTTATGTAGGTTTGAAGCTCAGTATATTCTTCCCTGCAGAATTTTTTCTTTCAAAGCAGGAGGATCAATTTTCAAAGAACAATGGGTGACACCAGCACTATTTGCATTCATCCAGAAGCCCAGCTAAGCAGATAAGGCTGTCTGTGCTGTTGATGCCTGAATTATATCTTCCAGGATTTCACTAAGCAGAATTTTCTTTATCCCGTGTTTTTTTAAATACAGAATTTTGCTCACAGTAACTTGGTAATCTATACCAGATTTAATTTATTCTGTTTTGGCACTAATCACAGACTGAATTATTTACATGGGAATAACTTTAAAATCTGTGTTTTGCACCTTCCAGACAAAATTAGAATTATAGTATGTAAACTGCACGAGGAAAGGAAATCTCTTCCAAGTTGGATCCTCCTGTGAGTTTAAATGTGGAAAGCAGATGCTATTTTTTGTCCTCTTTTAAAAAAGTAAACTTAATTTTAGAATCATTTCAGATGTCAGAAAAATTGCGAAGGCAGTACAGAACGTTCATCTGTATCCTACGCCAGTTTCCCCAGTTTTAACTTTTTATGTTTGTCACGATTGATGAACAAATGTTGCTAAGTGTTATTAACTAGAGTCCACCTTGTATTTTCATTTCCTTAGTTTTTGCCTAATGTCCGTTTCCTGCGTCAGGATCACATCTAGGACACCACATTAATTCAGTCATTACGCATCTTCAGGCTTCTTTTGGCTGTGGCCATTACTCAGTCTTTCCTTGTTTTCAATGACTTGAGAGCGTTGAGGAATGCTGGTCAGGTATTTCGTTGGGTGCTCCTTGACTGGAATTAGCTTGATGTTTTACTCATGATTAGACCAGGGTTATGGGTTTCCGAGAGCAAGGTCACAGAGGTAAAACGCTATTCTCACCACATCATGTTAATCAACATGACTCATCACTGATTCATTTTGAACACCTGGTCGAGGCAGTGTCAGGTTTCTCCACTGTAAAATTACTTCCCTCTCCCTCCACCCCTTCATACTTTACTCTGGGAAAAAGTCACCTTCTCCTTTAGGGTGGAATATCTGCATAAACTTTTTGGAATTCTTCTGTACAAGAGTTTTCTCTTCTCTCCCATTTATTTATTCAATTAATCATTCATTTATATTGCTATGGACTCGTGGATATTTATTTTAACTTTGAGTTATAATTGAATGCTATTTTATTTTGCTGTTCAAATTGTTCCAGCTTTGGCCTTTGGGAGCTCTTTCAGTTGCTTTTTGTGTCCCTTTGACATGTCCCATCCTTGTGGGATTTTTGGAATACTTTTTTGTTGTTGTTGACTTTCTGACAGAGCAAGATGCTTCAGGCTCATCTTGTATATTTCCTGACCTGGTTCTAGGTACTTATTTTTTTTTTTAATATATATATTTTTTTTTTGAGACAGAGTCTGGCTCTGTCACCCAGGGTGGAGTGCAGTGGCATGATCACAGCTCACTGCAACCTTTGCCTCCTAGGTTCATGGAATTCTTCTGCCTCAGCCTTCTGAGTAGCTGGGATTACAGGTGGCTGCCATGCTCAGCTAATTTTTTGTATTTTTAGTAGAGATGGGATTTCACCATCTTGGCCAGGATGGTCTCGAACCTCTGACCTCAAGTGATCCACCTGCTTTGGCTTCCCAAAGTGCTGTGATTACAGGTGTGAGCCACTATAATCTGTGTTTTTTTAAAAACATAAGAAATACTGTGCTTATTATAACTATTGACAACTTGACGTGTTGTAAACCTTAAGGTTAAAAAACCCCCCAAAATCAAAGTCTGAAAAGTCCAAACTGAGGAGATTATTCTACTATTTGGTCTTCATGTTTTCCTTGACCTTGGGCCATCCCTGGTGGAAGGGCTGAGTTCATGAATTTGTGTTTTGGGTGCTGTCCTGAGGATGACAGGAAGAGTCCAGATCAGCAAACCTTTCCAGTAAAGGCCCAGATAGTAAATATTTTCTACTTTGCAGTCCAGAAGCTCCTTGTTGCAGCTACTCAACTCTGTGTTTGTGGTGTGAAAGCAGCCATAGACAATATGCAAATGAACTGGGTGGCTGTCTTCCACTATTTCCTCTTTTAAAAGTGTAATCTCTGTTTCCAAAAGTGGATGGTGTCCTGAACCTGGTCTGTGGGCTGCAGTTTACCTGTCCTGTGTTAAAAGAACTGTCTGGGCAGACGTGAGTTCAAGTCTTGTCATTTGCTGACTTGGTGTTAGGCAAGTAATTTAACTTCCAACAGCTCCAACATTCTTTAGCTTAATAATGGGCATGATAACAGTATTAATGTTGGTCCCTTATAAAGTTTAGGGTTTAAATGATATAAGTAAAACACTTAGCTCCATGTCTATTACCCATATTAGGGTGATTACATCATTTCCTGTTAAAAGAGGACTCCTGGGGAGGAAAGTAAGTGATATTAGCCATTGATCATGTAGGGACAAGGGGTGTGAACAGTGACCATCCAAAGTCTATCCCAGAATGTGTATCCACCCTAGCTATTATTATTAGAATCATCTCTGTTAGCTGCTAATGCCTCTAATTTCCTGCAAATGTTCTGTCCTCCTGCTTCCTATGTCAGGACCTGGACTGGGCCTGCTTAGTGCTCTGAAATTACCCTTTCTTCTTTTTTCTCTTTGATCTCAGGAAATGATCTGATTTGATGAGCGGAAGACCATGTTACTTGATCTGGTTCAGCTTAGATACTTCATGTTAAAATCTGGTGAGTTTCCCCTTTAAGAGTTGGCAGTTTGCAATTAAATGTGATGCTCTACACATGTTCAGTTGTTACGATAATAATTTTTTCTTTCCTTTCTGCATGTACTGAACTTCCTAGCTCTACTGTTGAGATTTGTGATTTGCCATTTGCTTTGACCTCGGGTTACTGTGAGCCTTTTCGTCTTTACCTTGTGTGTGCCTGATTACCTTTTTCTGCCTTAGCTCCTTCACCTAATTACTCTCACTGGGAAGATTCTGTTTTTCCAGAAGATGTAGGCCTTTTGGCTGCCGTTAGTTACCCTTCTTTCCCTTGGTGTACAGAAGGGGAACAGAGGACTGGCATAAAGAGGAAGGCGAGGCCGTTGCAGTGTTTGTCAGTGTGGTCTTGACCTTGTGAAAGAATGAGCTGGATCCTCATTAGCATGCAGGTTTCTGGGGAGCCCTGGGCACACTGACTTAGATTCCCTGGTGGCAATGCCTAGGAATTAGCATTCCTCAAATACTCCTGATGATTCTAATATGCTCTAAAGTTTAAAAACGACAGCAATAAAGAATGTCTCTGAAAAGGGAGTATAAATTACAAGAAGCAATCTGGCATTATATTTTGTAGAGAACTCTCCTTGAGATCAGAGATCTGTCTTCTGTGCCAGAAGCCACTGCTAAAGTTCTGACCTAAGTGAGTTTTCAAGATATTTTCTGATTGCTTTCACTTTTCTCTTTCCTTGAATATCTGTTGCAAAGAAGTGCAAACAGGTCCTCTTACTGGACAGGGAGGAAGTATTTGGAGGTGGGTTTTGATGGAGGCTTTGAAGGGTAGGAGATAAGATGGCTGGGGCTATGTTTAAAAAAATTCTTCAAAGTTGGGGTAATTGAGGATGATAGGAAGTCAAGGGAAGAGAAGTGAGGTATGGGAAAAGTCAAGAGGGAACAGGAGGGTGGAGTTAGTGGAGGGATGTAGATGTATTTTAGCCTATAAACAGCACGTGCTGCAAGGGATTGAAGGACAAGGTTGAATCATCCTAAGGAAAATTTCTCTAGCAGGACTCAGAAGAAGAATAGGGAATTATTGAGAGTTTTATTTAAGGCATACATTGGTTTAGTAATCCATACTTGCCCAGATTTTCTTTCCATGTATTTATAGGAAGACAGTTATTTTGAGGGAGGAATTTCAAATGCCTTAGTGGTGTGAATAGCAAAGACTTCCAAAGATCCTAGTTTTCAATTTGAATAGCATCTGTGTTCATGTTTAATGGTATTTCTTTATCACACATGTCATGAGCGCCTACTTGATGTGTACCAAGCCAGGCACCATTGGTGAGACACAAAAGCATAACCTTGCATTTTCAAGGAGGTTTTCTCCTTGGGGGGCAACTGAGAAGGCACATATGAACAGCGAAGTGTTAGTAAAGCCTCTGCGACTGTTACATGTCTCATTCTTTTCATGAGCAACTCAAAGGAGATGGCTTCTGAAGTGAGATGTCTTGGGATAGGCCTCAATGGTTAAGACAAAGTAAGGGAAAAGGAACTGAGCATTTTATATGTGCGTATTGTCTACCAGTGACAAGGGGGTGAAAATATGCATGGTTGGTGTGAGGAAGGGCAAGTTGTTCCATCTGTTGGCACTGTGGGTTGTTTCTGGGGTGCAGTGGGAGATGACATGAAACATCAGCTTGGGGTAGATTATAAAAAGGGCCTCAAGAGTCAGACTCCAGGTTCAGTGGGAGGTCATACTGTAAGATTTTTTTTTTTTTAAAGAGAGTCTCTGTTGCCCAGGCTAGAGTGCAGTGGCACAATCATGGCTCACTGCAGCTTTGACCTCCTGGGCTCAGGTGATCCTGCATCATCCTCCTGAGTAGCTGGAACTAGAGGCATATACAACCATGCCCAGAAAAGTTTTTTTTTTTTTTTGTAGAGATGGAATTTTGCCATATTGTGCAGGCTGGTCTCTAACTCCTGGGCTCAAGCAATCTGCCTACCTTGGCCTCCCAAAGTGCTGGGATTACAGGCATAAGCGACTGCGCCCAACTATAGCTATGAGATTTTGAACAGGGGGATGATACGCTGAGAATTGTTTAGAAACATTTAGTGGGTATATTTTACTAGAAGGAGTGAAGTTGGGACTTGCTAGAGGGAATGAGTCATGTGAAGAAAGTCTTTTGATAATACCAGCATGGTAAGAGCCAGACAAAGGTGAACACAGTGGGAATGTAGAGGAGGGATGGGTTAAAAGATGTTGCAGAAGAATACCCCACATGCCTTATTTTCTCAATGACTCTATGAGGGGGTATTTTTATCCCTGTCTGTAAGATGAGGAAACTGAGGCACAGAAAAGTTAACTTACATATCCAAAGACATATAACTAGTAAGTAGCAGGTATACTGCTGTGCTGTCCAATGTGGTAGCCACTAGCTATGTGAGACTACATAGAGTTAATTATAATGAAATATTTAAAAATTAGATCCTGCGATATCTGTCACATTTCATGTGTTCCTTAGCCACATGTGCCTATTACGTTAGATGGTGCAGAAAATTTCTGTTGTTGCAGAATGTTCAATTGAACAAATTTTGAACCTATGTCTTCTAACTCTTGAGTGAATGTTCTTAATGCACTCCACCACTGATATTAACAAGAAACCTCCCTAGTTTCTCACTAGATTGCTAGGCCAAAGAAGAGCAGCAGAGAGGACTAATACAGCATTTTAATGGTTTATCAATATTATTAATGAAACTTATTAAATGCCCCTATTGTATGTCCTTTTCAGTGAGTTAGGTTCATTTAAATTACATCAGGAGAAAACAAGCTAATATTAATTCAGAACAATATACCTCTACAATGATAACCATAACATTTTAGTCTTCTAGGAGGTACAGATTGCCGTCTGTTTATAGTTGAGGCCTTACTTCTAATTTGAAGATTCTATCTGGCACATTTTCAGTTTGGTAAGATAGCGTAATCATGGTCGTAAATCCTTTTCTCTCTCAGGTTCTCTCTAAGAGGCTCTTCAGTTCACTTTTAAATGGGCTACAAAAGCTTACTGGAAAGATGGATGTCTTCCTTGTCTGAGCACAATATTATTAAAGCAAGGACGCCGATGAGATTGCTAAGTGATACAGGATCTGGGATAATGTTAAACTGCAGAGACATTTATTTCCTTATTTCGGATGAAAATGGAGAATCTCACTTTCATTAGGGGGAGCTGGCATATAATTCTTTAGCTATTAGGACAGTGACCTTACATTTCCTGTAACCATCAGCATTTAGCCAAAATGTTTTACCACCTTGGAACATTAGGTGTATGGGGGCTGCACCTTCCTTTAAGAGGGTGGCTGGAGGGCCTTATCAGAATGCTCAATTTGTGAGTTGTTTCACTAGGTGATTTTGCGCCATCTCCTCTGGTTTTCATGTGCAAGGATGTTAAGCCTATGATAATATTGTGAACCCCTCAACAGTACTTTCCCCTAATTTCCGCAAGGCAATAATGCAGAATATTGCACTTCATAGGCCTGTGCTATGCAAGACTGGCTTCTTTGTTCCTCTTGCTTCCCTTCAGTGATCTGAGTATGCTTTTCAGGTGGGTGATTCTTTGTATCAGTAGGTAGATATTATAAAGCCTATTAAGGGGTGCAAAGTGGAAGAATGCTGGCTCCCTACTCTTAGGAAGCTTTAAAAAAGTATCCTGAAAATAAACCTTTGTCTTTTTTCTCCCCCAGGTTCCGATGATTATAGCCAAGTTTAAAGGTCACATTGTAGTTTAACTTGGTTTGGGTCCTGGATTATTGTTTAATATTTACCAAGCATTCACTTGTCAGCAAAAGTGAATTGTGCTCACGTAAAACTGACCATTCTTTTCTCTTGGTTTGTTTCTGAATTATTCCACTTTCATCAAATCCCTCCCAAACACAGATTTATTCTTGCTTCTTTTTCACATTGGAAGGAAGGTCCCAGACTCAGGATGAAGGTGGTATAGGGATTTCCCATTTTAGGCTTTTCAGTGCCTAAAACTACACTTTTTATTAGTAAGGCATTGTTTAGAAATCTTGCAATGGATCCTACGGTATTTTTTACCCTTAGTTGTTAAATTGACCTACATGAACACTTGTAGTTTTTCATCATGAAAAATTTTAACCATTTTTCATTTTTTTGTACCTGCCAAGGAACAAAATGCCTCGTTTGACCCTAAACAATTTGTTTTGGTTTCTATAGCTTGTGAATTCAGGTGCAGAATTACATTCTTTCTTGGTTGCTGATTAAAAAGGCAGACCTGGAAGATAGTCTTCTGTTCTGAGTAGTACTAGGTATGTAGAATTCTTTTTTGAGACAGAGCTTTTCACTGTTAACCAGGCTGGTGTGTAGTGGTATGATCTTGGCTCACTTCAACCTTCACCTCCAGATTCAAGTCATTCTTCTGCCTCAGCCTCCTGAGTAGCTGGGACTACAGGCGCCCACCACCATGCCTAGCTAAATTTTGTATTTTTAGTAAAGATGAGGTTTCACCATGTTCTCCAGGCTGGTCTTGAACTCCTGACCTTAAGCGATCAGCACACCTTCACCTCCCTATGTGCTGGGATTACAGGTGTGAGCCACTGCGCCCTGCCTAGGATCCTTTTTGGATTGTCAGATTATTCCCATTACCGGCCAGGATGCCATGCAGTGACTGCTGTTACCAAAACCAGACTGCCATCCTGGAAAGGAAAATAGGTCATGATTGTGTGTGAGCTCAAATTTAGGGAGAATAAAATCGGGAAACCAAGAGCTACTTTGTTACTTAAAACAGTTTCCTTTTTTTTTTTTTTTTTTTTTTTTTTTTAGAGTATAATTATAATTTTGGTTTTTTAAAAAATAACTTCAACTTTTATTTTAGATTTAGGGAATGCATGTGCTGGTTTGTTACACGGATATAATGCGTCATGCTGAGGTTTGGGGTATGAATGATTCTGTTACCCAGGTTGTGCTCATAGTACCCAATAGGTAGTATTTCAGCTCTTGCCCTCCTCCCTCCCTCCCACCTCTAGTAGGCCCACTGTCTATTGTTCCTGTCTTTACATCCATAGGTACCCAATGTTTGGCTCCCAATAATAAGTGAGATAGAACATGCGGTATTTGGTTTCTGTTCCTGTGTTAATTTGCTTAGGATAATGGCCTTCAGCAGCCTTCGTGTGCATCCATGTTGCTGCAGAGGACATGATTTCATTCTTTTTAAATACACGTTGTACATATTCCACATTTTCTCTATCCAGTCCAACATTGATAGGCACTTAGTTTGTTTCCGTGGCTTTTCTGGTGTGAATGGTGCTGAAATGAACAAAAGAATGCATGTGTCTCTTTTTGTAGAATGATTTATTTTCTTTCGGAATAGGATTGCTGGGTTAAATGGTAGTTCTGTTTTTAGTTCTTTGAGAAATTTCTACACTGCTTTCCATGGTGGTTGAACTAATTTACATTCTTAGCAACAGTGTGTAAGAGTTCCCTTTTCTCTGCAGCCTTGCCAGCATCTGCTATTTTTTCTCTCTCTAATAGCCATTCGGACTGATGTGAAATGATAACTTTTTGGGTTTTGATTTGCCTCTCACTTATTGGTAATGTCAAGCATTTCTCATGTTGACAAAGAATTTATGGCTTTGTCATAAATTTTTGTATTTTTAGTAGAGGTGGGATTTCACCATGTTCACCAGGCTGGTCTTGAACTCCTGACCTCAAGTGATTGGCCCACCTTGGTCTCCCTAAGTCCTGGGATTACAGGGGTAAACAACTGAGCCTGACCTAGGATCCTTTCTGGGTTATAGATTCGGGTGCAGAATTATATTCTTTCTTGGTTGCTGGTTAAGAAGGCAGACCAGAAAGACAGTCCTCTGTTCTGAGTAGTACTAGGTGTGTAGAATCCTTTTCTGAGACAGAGCCTCATTCTGTCACCTATGCTGGAGTGTAGTGGTGCAATCTTGGCTCACTTCAACTTCTGCCTCCTGGGTTCAAGCAATTCTCTTGCCTTGGCCTCTGATTACAGGCACCAGCCACCATGCCCAGCTAATTTTTTGTATTTTTTAGTAGAGACACGGT